AGAAGCACAGGACAAAATTAGATCCTACATCCAAGAAATGTTGTTTTCTTGGATATGTTAGTGGCGTGAAAGGTTATAGGCTATGGGAATTAATTGCTTGTAAATTGATTGTTAGTAGAGATGTTTCTTTCAATGAGCCTAGCTTATTGAAAGAGGGGAAGAATTTTCAGGCTTTCCGAACTTACAAGGGGAAATCTTTACTCACTTATGTTGTTATAGGGGAGTTTGATCATTCTATCACTAATGATCTGTCACATGAACAAGCACCAATGCATGTGGAGCAAGTTTTTGAGAAACATGAACTACATGAGCAGGCTATTTTGATAAGCCTATTGCAACAGTCTTAGACAAGAGAGATTAAATGGAAACGTCTACCATGAGATCACAATGTTCTTGTAGAGCTCCTAAAAGATTTGGTATATGGGCCAACTCATCCATTTTCAAAGATCGTGACCTTACTTTTCATGATGAGGATGGTATGATGTTGATTTTGGAAGAAGGTGAAGGTGAATCTTCTTCATAGAGGGAAGTTCAAGTTTCGATCAATAAGCTTGAGTGGAATGCTGCTATGGAGCGTGAGATGCAATCACTTATTGACAACAAGACTGGGGAGTTGGTTGAGCTTCATGAAAATCAAACATTGATTGATTCCAAGTGGATGTACAAGTTGAAAGACAATACAGCAGAACATGAGACAAGAATCTTCAAAGCCGAGTTGGTGGTTAGAGGTTTCACACACAAGAGAAGGGTGTGGATTATAACTTGATTTTTTTGATTTTTTTGGTGTAGCAAAGTATGCTACAATTCGTCTGATATGTGCACTGGCCGCAATATTTAGTTTTGTTATGGACCAGATGGATGTGGTCAAAGCCTTTCTTTATGGATGTTTAAAGTAGTAGATGTACATGGATATAAATTTTATAATAAATTTTTATTTTTATTTTTTTGATTAAGAAATAGAATAATTTTGTGAAATCTTGTTGGTTAAATCAGGAGTGATGTCACGGACAATGCAGAGTTTGTCCAACAGTTAGGCGATGCATACTTTATCCTACATGTAGATCACATGGACATTTTTGAACAGATAGGCAAAACAATATTTTTTTCTAAATAGGAAAACGGTGCAAACTTTGCCCAACAAGGAGGCGACACAGACATACTTTTTTAAACATGAAGAAGTTAGCTAATTTCCCACTTTAGATCGTGTTGATAGTATAAATAAAAATCTCAAAACATTCTACCTCACTTTCGACAACATCAATTGTACTTGCTCTTTTAAGTACCAATACTATGTTTTGTTTGTTACTTTCATCTTTCACGCTCTCAATGTTATTACTTCCAATTTTAGATCTTCAAACGTTATTTCAAGTTTTGTGTGAGTTGCCGTACACAACACAATCTTATCTATTAAGCATGGTTATTTTTAGACAACCATATACCAAGGTGCCTAAATTATCTAAAATTATCCTTTCTTTAGCTCCTTAGTTAACTCGCGCATCTAGACTCTAATTGGATCAGAATTGAAGAGTCACAGATCAGGAGATTTCAGCCATTCAGTTTGTTACTGAATGGTTGAGACTATGTGAGCTATAAGACTGACGTGGTAACACGTCAGTCTCATAGTTCACATAGTCTCATAGGAATCCGAAGTCTGCATATTAAATTTTTTCTCGTCCATAATCCACAACCCGCTACAAGCGTTTATCCCTGTCTCTCCCGTTACCTCCGAACTCCTCCCTTGTTCTCAAGTGCACTCAAGTTGACTTTTAGCACAAAAGCGTCTCAGAATTAAACTTAATTATTAATATAATTAAATTAAGCTAATTTAAGTACTTCAAGCGATCAACTAATACAACCATGCTTGTATATATTTAATAATGAATACTTAACTTGATTTTTTTTAGATTTGAACAAAATGAATATATATATATATATATATATAATTTAAATCAAAACATTGAAAATTTGGAAGTAACTTTTTTATAATCTCAAAGTTGTTCATGATTTTGACATTTTGTTTGATGGTAATCAATAAGTTTATGTGTGTATGGTGATCAATTGCAATTTAAATGATTTCAAATCAAAGTATCCGATTTATGCATTAAATAAAAATTTATTTGCAAATTGCATAATTGAATTAATAATAAAACTTTAATATTTGTAAATTTAAAATTTTATGTGTTAAATAAGTTCAATACTAAAATAAAATAAAACTTATGACAACATTGATGATAATGGATGTTATAAATTTTTATTTTAATGATTCTAGATTGATACATCTTTCTTATGATGAAGAAAAAAATTGACTAATTATTAATCTGGTTGATGTTTAAACTATTTTTTGAATCTAAAATAAAACTATATTGTATTGTTATAAAAAATTTCACAATGAACTTATAAAGAGTCATTTTAATTATCATTTCATTCTTGCATATGCTTTACTTGATCTTAGTAAGGTTGTATCTTAACTCCAGTTTATACTTGTTTCATGAAGACGAACACATTGAATTTTTGATTTTTTCAAGATTTCAAAAATCATGAATATGAATAACAAAAGCTAGAGATTTAAATACAAATGTTATACTTAAAGTGTTGAACATCTTTTTTTAATCGAATAAATTCAATTAGTTTATGTGATTAATCAAAGTAGTGCATGCACTTGTAAATAAGAGAGCTAGTGGATATATTTTGTGAAAAATATTAAGTTTTCAGTAAAACATTTTGTACATGCTTTATACTCTGTCACAATTACGATACGACTTGATTTCCTGATTTTTGTTATGATCTATGGTCTAATATTTCTGCTTCTGTTTTTAAAATCTCCACAGATTATGTATATGAATAACATTAGTAGCAAAAGTGAAGCTATATATTGCACACAAATTATGTAAGTATCATGGTCACTCCAGTTTTTTTCTCTTTTCATAGGCATACACATACTATCATAACTATTCGCCTAAGGTGAGAATATTTAGATATTATAGTACAAAGAGGTCAAAAAGACGTACCTTTCCATTCAGATCCAATAAAACTTTCCAAATTAATTTCAGCAGAGTCAAAGTAAAGTAAAAAGCAAAAAGTAGCAGCAAAAAGTAAAAAGTAAACAATAAACGTAAAACAAAGATGGGATGTGAAGGGAAGTGAAACGCTCTCACAAAAAGTGTGTGTAGGCAACAAAAGGCAATGGGAGATCACCGTAAGGAGTCCCACTTACCAGAACCTCAAGTCCCAGCCTAGAGCACATTCCCTATGGAAAGTAACGCGAAGATAGCGCAGTGTAGTGTGACTTCGAAGTTAGAGGTCGACCAAAGATTACTCTATACTGCTGGTCAATTCACGTGCACACATCTTTGTCTTTGACCATGTGATCAGGTCTCTCACAGACCTTCAACTGTCGCCGACAGTCATAGCGTAACATGTCTGCAGTCAGAAACTTAATCAACACATGCATGCTGACGATTCTTTATGCAACTTGCCAAACTTCTCGCTTTGAAAATCACTTATCTTGCTGTATAGAGATGTTCTTGCTCGCATTAAGCAACCTGGTCCTTCCTCAGTTTACTTCAACTCAGAACCTCAACCTTTTTTTCTTATTTTCTTAGAATCTAGAAAAATGGTATTGGATAGCAATGATTTTTCGTACCTCCTTTGATTCATAAATTTCTGCACTGCCCCAGGCAAGCTCCACGTATCGGCCATGCCTTTGCTAAAATATTTTAAGACAAAAATGCTCTTAAGAACTTGACTACCACAGTGGGAAATTTGAATTGTGCTTTGATGTGAACTTTCCATAGTCAGTCACCAGTTTTTAGTAAGGACATCATTGCTCCGGCCATGTTGAGATTTCATGTTGACATTAGCAAAAGCAATTAGTGCTGGATTACTTCGTCATTTGTTCAGAATTAAGAACTTACCCACGTTACTCGCTGAGGGTGAGCACGTCTAAGAGATTTCTTTCATTAGAAACTTGCAATCCGAATACGAAGCCAGAGAAGGCTCGTGGTGAGCACGAAAGGCTTTAGGGAACAGGCGAAAAGAATAACTCTCGATCGAGCGTATGTTTGAACGGGTCAATGACTATGCGGTGTATCCAGACTAGTGTAATAACAGTGAAGTCGCTTCTCCACTTGCAGTCTCTATATGCTCGCTCAGCCCTCGCTCAAGGGCTTTGCTGATACAGAAGCTCTAAGACTTGAACCCCATTCATGACCGAGTACAAAGATCTACTACCTTGGAGAGTTTTCCGATTGTTCACCTCATTCGAAGTGACAATGTCCTCCGAGCTGTTGAAGGTTTTCCATTGCCACCATGTTCGATGCTGAGCTCAAATACTGATGTGAGCCCAAGAATCTCTTGCTCGACCTGCCCTCGACGAATATAGGTGTTCCTGAGTTCTGATGCAAAGTGCAGTTTTTCGACATGATTTTCGACGACGTTATTACACGCCTTCTTCAATTGACGGTGTTAGAGCCCAACTGTGCTGTCGTATCGAAGCTCACTCTCTTGCAACGAGCAGAGAGTTTGTCCTATCACCGTACGTCTACATCTCAGCTCTCCGAACCGACATTGAAGCTTACTCGAAGTTGAATTCTATTGACCTGCGTCATCAGAATGTGTCCCGACTTCCGGGACGACTGTTGATATTCATCTCGAGCTGCTCGGAGGTCGTCTGAATCGCATTCAGGAACAGATTCAAAATTCCACATGTTCCCGATCTGGATGTTGCTCGGAACAAGTGGAATTTTGAACTCACGATGGCTGCTGCTTACTCGAATGCTCAGAGCATCAATTCTCCCTTATTTTCTTCGATTCTGTGGGTGGCAATCCCGTTGGTTGCTGTCTCCGCCGTATATCTGTATCGGCCGTGGCGAGGGATTCGCTTCCTCCGACGTCTGAGATCTATCTCGTCCAACACCGGCGGAATCACATGGCGAAACAAATACTTGTCGTTCGAAGACATGCACGCATTGTTCGATCGCGGAGACGCGATGCTGGCCGCTATGCTCGTGGCGACGACGCTGCAGCTGGCGCACGGCGAAGTGGCCAAGGTCCTGGAGACGCACAGCATGTACAAGCGGGACCCGTGGCGGCGTTGGGTGCGGACGCTGACATTTATCCAGCTCACCGTGCAGGCCAACTCGGCGCAGAGGTCGCAGATCGTCGCGTGGCTCAACAGACTTCATGCCAACATCAGGCTCTTCGAGTTCGAGACGAACGTGTTCGTCCTCGCGACGATCGCCTACGGCCTGGCGCAGAGCCACCAGGCGCTGGGCGCGTTTCCCACCGGCGAGAAGGACGCCATCGTGTCCAGCGTCATGAGCATGGCCGACAAGCTGAGCGCGGACGACCGGCGCAAGCCCGTGCCCACGACTTTCAGCGCCGTGGAGAAGTTCCTCGCGCCGCAGCTCAGCTCCGTCCACCTACGAAGCATCCTGGCCAGCATGTCCGCTTTGTTGGACTTAGCGCAGAAACCCCGCTTTTCCACTGCTCTCCGTCGGCCTTGGTCTTGGGCGAAATTTCTCCTGCTTCGTACTCTCGCTCGAGACATTTCTCTCAGAGTTCTGTCACCGCCAACCGCCGGTGAACCGCCGGGAGCGCTCCTCTCCCTCGCCAGAATTTTCCAGCCCTTCTGGTACCACTTCCATTACAGCGCGTGCCCGCGCGTCCTCACGCTCGCCGGCTTATTCGAGACCCTCGTCGGCTGCGATCCGTCACTGAACACCGTCGTGGACGATGTGCACCGGGAAATATTCGGCGCACCGCCGGTGGGAAAGTTCGCGCCGAGTGAAGCCCATCTGCCGCAGTTACCGAACGGAGTTGCCGGCGCAGCTCCAGCTGCGGACCTGACGAACCAGTCATTCATCGCAGCCGTCAGGGAGCATTTGAAATGCGCGTACCTCCGAACGAGGCTGGCCGGACCGGGGAAGCAGCTCCCCCGACACCTGGGGGTCATCATGGATGGGAACCGGCGGTTCTCGCGGCAGCACGGCCTGGGCTCCGTGCTCGAGGGTCACCGGTTGGGCGCCCGGAGGCTGCTGCAGTTCATGACGTGGTCATTCAGCGTCGGGATCGACCATCTGACCGTTTGGGCGTTGTCGGACGACAATCTGAAGCGGGGGCACGAAGAGCTGGACCCGCTGTTCGCCATGATGGCGGACTTCACGCGCGAGATCGTGATGGGCGACGCGCCCTTGGCCGTGATCGACGTCCGCATCCGCGTCGTCGGTGACCGGTCCATCCTGCCCGCGGCCTTGAACGACGCCATAGACGCGATCGAGGAGGCGACGAAGGGCGAGAAGAAGCTCAATCTGCAGTTCGCGTTGGGCTACGGCGGGCGCAGGGAGGTCCTCCGAGCGGTGAAGGCCGCAGTCCAGGCTCGTGCCCACGAAGACTCGTCGACGATCGAAGAAGCCCTGTCTCGTCTCAGTCCCGGCGATGTGTCCAAGCACACTTACTCGGCCGAGTCCGGCGTCCCTCCGATGGACGCCATTCTGCGAACCAGCGGCGAGAAGCGCCTGAGTGGGTTCGCCTTGTGGGAGTCGCAGGAATGTGAACTCTCGTTTGTGGCGCCTAACTGGCCGGGCATGAGTCAATCCGATTTTTTGAGCTGCCTCGTGGATCTTGCGGAGAGGAAGCGCAGATTCGGAGCCTAGTTCTGAATTCGAAGACCTAAAGAACATTCTTCAGGTCTTCGAATTCAGAACGTAGAGTAGCGTTAGAGATGCATGCGCACAAGACGCGATGAATGCCGAAAACTTGTAAAAATGGTTTTGAGAAGTGCAATTAAGTTTTGTTGTACCACGGACATTGTCACCACAAGAACTACGCGTCAGTGTGGGGTGGGAACGGGGCGCTTCTACTGGCTTACCTTGTAAGAGCGCTTGTATACCAGTTTGCAATATCTCTTCACGTGAAATTGGTCACAAACTGAAAAAGAGTATCTTTCAACTACCTCGAATAGGAGTGTAATCTATGGTTCAGAGACTTGGTGTAAAGAGTTGACGGTTTGAATGATCGATCCGGGTGGAGGTGAAGATAAGCAGTGCCGTAATCTTTTTGTATGATGAAGTGGAAGTTGCTTTGCTCAAGCCTGTTAAATTTCAAAAGGAAAGGTACATTGACGTGGGAAATTTACAGATTAGTGCCATCAGCGAACTGCTGTTGCTCTAATGTTTGGCAGATTGCCAATTGCGAGACAATATCCTCGCTCAAGAAGCTTTTGGAGATCAATGTCGATGGTTTCTGTAACGTGTAGATCCGCCTTTGCACCGAAGCCTGTACTATTGAGTTCTGTTCTAAGAATAGAGACCTCGAAGGGAAATTGAGCCGTGTGTCACACTCGGAGCGCCAAGTGGCCACGAGAGAGACAGTTGCCCAGCGTCGTCGGGTCATCGAGGTCTAGTCGTATATTGATATCCGGCGTTATTGGAATTTCTCGCGGTATCTTTATCAGATTGATACCAGACTTGGCCCTTGCCCAAACAAAAGATTCAGAGAATGACGACTGCTGGCTCCGTGCATGATGATAACTTGAGCCTCGCAATGGAAAGGGCAGTACTTGTCGGCTGCTTCCTCTCGGAGAATGCATGGCTTTCGGTGCCTCCCAGAACGCACACAAATGCTCCAGGTCCGAGAAAGCCGCCAAAGAATCAAACTTTTAAAAAAAGAAAAAAACTCGTTTATTTTTTTTGTGTAATTATCATCAATTCGTTCATTCCTCGAGTCTCGATCTCGCTGATAATCTGCTTTACTGCAGCGTCCACCCGTAGCCCTCCTGCCGTTACTCGTTCCTTTGGCCCCAAGTTGTGTCCTGCTCTTGATCCTGCCAGATACTTGAACAACTTTTCGAGTTTCCGACACTTTCTTGCGGCGTTCAATTCGCTTCTATCTCTGTGCACGTAATGATTGGTGGAATTCAACTCGACAGATCCCAACTGGGGCAAGCATCGGACATAGATTGTAAAAGTGACGAAGACTTTCTGAGCCGCAGTGAACTGGATGTGTCACTTCGTTGACCACCGACTCCTTCGTTCCGATCCTCTCGGCTTTACGAACTTCTTTCTCGCCCACGGGCAGGAGGTCGGTGGCTCTTCCCCGGCCCTTCATGATCATCTGCCTCGTGCACCGCGGACTCGACGGCGTTGTAAATCGTAGGGAATTCATTTCGCTGCTTTCAAAATTCTGTCGACTGGGCGGTTGCCGTTTTAATGTGATCTTTCATGTCGGACGTATCCGCTTCGGCACACATTATACAATTGTTCATAGGTATGAAATTGATATATATATATATATATATAGAATGATGTCAAAGAGAATGCTTATAAATGGCGCATGTAGTCTGGCAATGAGCAGCAGACGACTTGACTCCAAGTGAGGTTCTTTTCGGAGACAAATGATCGATGAAGTTTGAACCGCTGCAAAAGTACAGTGATCATGGTTCGAATATGGCAGACTTTTTAGTTTCCGAGGGCTCGCCATGTTGTTAATCAACACACATAATATTCGCGGGAATTTTTACAATTTTTGCAATATGCGTGAATGGATGGGACGTTTGCACAATAATTTGCGCTATAGTTTTTCGTGATTATCTTAGGTTATATTTATTTTTGAATATATTAGCTGGGGATAGTGTGTGCTTTACATGTTTTTTAAATAGCTTATTGTTCAAATATTGTGGTAAAGATTGTATAGATATATATTTAACATGTGGTGTTATATTTTACTATTGTGAAAAATAGAAATATTTGATTTATATTTTTTTCTCACATAGATATATTTTTCTTCTGTTTTTTTTTCGTGTTTTAGTATTCTCATACATGTGTAAGGTGGACACAACTTTTGTCCCAAAATAGATGTTTTCTTTAAGTTGCTTAGCTTGTACATTCAGAGTATTACAGTCAATTTATTTTCTATCTTGCTCGCACAACGAAGTATGTCCTAGATTAAGTGTACAGATTTGGATTGCAAAGAAGGAAACCAAAAATTGTACAGAGTCAGATTTATTAAACGTTATTAATTGTCTGTCTGACGATCCATGTATCAGGAATGGCAGAGTAAAAACGATAATATAGTACAAATTATGCGCCTGCCGTGAAAACACGACCTATGTCACGGGACGTGAAATCTCTGTCACGTCCCGTGACAGAGAGTGTGATGTAACTAAGCTTCTGCTTACGATCTAGTTTGGACGTTGTCGGCAGCCTTTTCGGTCTTTCTCGAGGCTTCGTCTAGACCGGACTTGGCCCTCGCGGAGACGTCGTCGAGTCCAGATTGTGCGGATCGCGCAGCGTCCCGGGCAGATCCCTCGACGTTGTCGGTGGCGTCCTCGAGGCCGGACTGAGCGGACGAGGCAGCATTATCGGCGCCCGCCTGCACATCCTTTCCTGCGTTTCGCGCTTCAGTGCCGAGGTTGCTCGCTTGTTGCTGGAACCTGTCCTTCGTCTCCTCGACTGCTCCAGCCGCTAGATTCTGAGCAAAAGTCCGCAACATTAACATTAATGTCGATCACCGAACAGCATACAGATTCTCACAGGTCGACTCAATTCGAGACATGTCAACGCTTTTCCTGGGCGAGCAGGGCTCACGTACCGTGGCCTCGTTGGCCTTGACTCCGAAATCGTCCCCGACGCTCTTGGCCTGGTCTGCTAGCTCTCCCGCCTTGTCCTTCACGGTCTCAGCGGCGTTCTGGACGTTCCCTTTCAAATCCTTCGCGGCAGTCGAGAAGAAGCTTTGCGCGTCGTTGCCCACATCCGGTGAGCTTCGTGTGCTTTTGTCGGCTACGTCCGCACCCTGCAATGTGGATATGTCATTAGAGAGCTGAGAAGCCATCGACCATCTCCGACGTGTTTCACGTCATGAATCGGAGCTGAACTGAGGGCACGATGCAAACGATCAAATTTCAGACGACTGATACCTTTTAGTATTGTTACGACAAACTATAACTTTCGAGTGATATCGGGGGAGTCCAAGAGAAGATGGAGGGCTTTTGTAAAACGTACAGAATCCTCCGCTCTGATGACGAAGAGCGATGGGCGGACGGATGAAGATCGAGCAGCGGTGAGGATTTGCAGACGCGGGCCACGGAGGTGAGCCGCTGACGCCATGTTCACGAACCTCGTAGATGCAACGGGAGATGCAACTTTTGGCAAAGAGCACATGCCGGCGACCAGCATTGCCGAGGCGTTCGCAGCAGTCAATGATGCCATTGCGCGAGAGCGAGAGCGACAGGGGCGATTGGTCTGCGAAGATGCGGATGTAGTCGGCGGACTTTGCGTGGGGGTGAGAATGCTATAGCGTCTCAGCTCTCCGAGTCGGGGTAAGAATTTCGGAATCGAACTCACTTTGACTGGAACCTTTGACAGCTGCTTCTTATATAACCAGGAGAACAACAAGCAATCGGTCATGGCAGCTAGTCCACGTGCCGCCATGAGCCTCGCACTGCGCGGTGATCTCCGGCTGATCCTAGAGCCCCAGAGTGATCGACATGCACGAAGACATGCTCGAGCCAATCCACGACAATGCGCCACATATTTCCACTTCTGACACGCGTTTTACGCTTGTCCATCACTCGAGGATGTTCAACACGAGTGTTGAGACTGATCGTTAATTCAGGATCGGTTTTGGAGATCAGAAGTTTATCATGAGTGAAGAAGTGATAGACATAGATCTTGTTCTTGTGCTTTGGCGCTTTCTAAAATACTCTGGCGCATGCCATGCACACCGGAATTGGACGGCCAGTATTCGAGAATAGCACGAGGACGGATATATTTTATTTTCATCAAAACTCTTCATTTAAGACACCCCTTGCCCCCAGAAAAATGTAGATGCCATGCGCTGAAACTTAGCGCATTTATCAGTTGATTCCATAATTAGCAACCTCATTTTCGATTCATATTTCTCGCTCCATCTACTCTTTCAGGTCAAGACGGGGAGTTTGAAATCTCATATGAGCTAGGGGACTGCACCTGCTGAGAAACCGCAATTTGTATCGATTTGCTGATGTGGAAGAGTATGAGCCATTTATGAGTGCTCACGTGCCGTAAATTAACTCATCACGGGCCGAAATTCCTTCCATTCCAACGACACAAAACGCAAAAACGATTGTTACTACATTTTCTACACATTTCTCAACCTCATACCCCCCCCCCCCCCCATACCGGCGGGTTGTCTCCTTGTAGAAAAGGTTTTTGCTTTTGGTCTTAATTTCGAACTGTACAGGCAAGTCACTTTTCGAACCGTCACATTTCCGAGATGCTAAGTACAAGTAGGACTCCGCAGTAGTGTATGCAACTATTCCCCCACTCATCTCATGCTCATTAATCATGAGATTGTTCCTATAGGTTTAATGCACCAGAAATCAACTGCCGGTGAACATAAAAAAAAAGATAAGCTAACAAATCTATGTACACATATCGTGTAAATGTTTTCACGTATGATGTAGATGTTATGACTATATTGCACACCATTACTTGAACGATGTACATCATGGGCCTACATCTCTTATTTAAAACAATATACAGTTTACAATAAATAGAAGGAAGAGGTAGAATACCACATACCAAATTTAGGGAATATCTGATATGCGGCTACTGGACGTACATTATGTGATAATGTTACCTTTATTTAATCCATACATTCATTTATACAAATTAGCAATACCATTGCCTAGGAAAGAACATACTTTGGATGAACTAAATTGGAAATTTGATTTATGTGAATATTAAATTATATTTAAAAATTATTATTATTTTAATATAATATAAATATTTCATGCAAAAAGTAAAAAGGAATTGTAACCATCTTTAATTCTTTATATTTAAATAGATATTATTTAAAATAAATATTTTAATAAATTATTAAAAATATTTTAATTTTAACCATCCGATTGGTTGATAAATAAAGAATAAATCTATTAAAATAACCTAAAAATCTTTGTGCTTATTATTTAAATATTAAAAAACGTTAAAAACATTTTTTAGATTTATCCTTTATATTTTAACTCTATTAATAATGGTATCATGATGAAAACTCCTATTGTATCTGTTGGTTGGATAGATAGATATATATATATATATATATATATATATATTCATTCATATTAAGATAACCATTCTATGTAATTTTTATATTCAAAATCTTTATACTAATTTGCTAATGAACTAATCTTTAGTGTTATAATTATATTATATCTACATTATTTTTTACTTAAGTTTGAATTATTGCTTAAGTGTGGAATAGTAAGAAAGGTACGATGGTAGTCAGTTTATGAGAGTGTTCAAGATTTGGGTAATATTATTGATCTGCATGTATTGAAAAGACTTGCGATTTTGTGAAAATGGAATTTTTCATTAAAGAAATCATAGTGATACATCTCTAATTTATGTGATATACATCTTTGTTTCATGTAAAAAAATTATTTTCATATGTATATTTTGAGATATTGGAATGCGAAACTTATAAATCAAGTGATCATCAATGTTGACATTGCAATTTTCAATTGTTAAATAGAAAAACATGATATTATATCATCCACAATTCATACTAAATGTTTAATGAATTTAAATTTTAAGCCATACGTTTTTTAAAAAAAAATCAACACATATCTAAATAATATATTGAAAAAAAAAGTGAATATAATTTATCGTGAAAAAATGTGAATATAATTTACTGTGACAAAATGTGAATACAATTTATTGTGGAAAAATATGTTGAAAAATATTATAGAGAAGTTCTCATTTTTAATTTGTATGATACTTATATTTCAAGGTTGGATACATTTTATGCCTATTTATAAAGAAAGAAAAAGAAAAAGAAAGAAAGAAATGAGAAAGAAAAAGCATAGAAACCTCATTTGATATAAGTGAGTCTATTAAGACTTAGATGAAAAAAATAAAAAAATAAAAAAAATATAACTATATACAGAACCTCAAACCATCAGAAATATTTTAAATAAAAAAATGAATTATAGATTAAAACTTCAATATTAGATACTCAAGTTGAGCCTAAACCTGTTTTAATCTATATTCTATAGACAAATTGAAAGACAGTTCAAGATCCTAGAGATCAAATCAAACTTTTAGCTTGAACAAAAAAATATGTAAATATACAAGGACAGTAGAGCAATGTAGCTTTAGTAATTTGAATCATGAACATGAATATACATGTTTTTATTTTCATGTTTATAATTTAATTGCATGAATGTTCATGGTATCATGTGCCTTGAATATAGTGAAATGCACAATTAATTTTTGCATAATTTAGAATTTATTTCCTTAAACTACAAAAATGAAATTGTGACAATCAAATAAAAAATATCATTGATTATATTGAATTTTTTTTTTATTTTCAAGTATCCGTCATGAATATGAGTGGAAGAAAAACCATGTGTTCAAACAAGACTTGAAAAATCAGATAATTAAAAAAATGATGATATAAAATCCATACACAATAAAATATATTGTTGCATACAAACAAAAATTTATTCAAAAAAAAATATTTTTATGAAGTATAAAGATGTCATTTTAATAAATCATCTTGTATTATTGCCAACAAAGAGATGTGTGAATCACAATATTGAAATGATATTTAAGTAATGAAATATTTCATCAAATTATATTCAAATAATGGCTACAATTAAATTCAAATTGCAATTGAAGACATTTATAATACAGTTTTGTGTATTATGCATGATCATTTTCAGTAGCAACCTGATGATGATTTTTTTTTCATTAATGCACTTGATATATTCATATGATTGATGAATTATATTTATTATCCTTATATAGACAAATTTTTAATTTTTTAGATATGATATTTTGATACATATCAAAAAATTAAATGATCGTAGTCACCGTTACAATTTACTTAAGATTTTGCGAGGGAATGAATGATATATCTAAATTTCTAAATGTGAATTTGAGAAGTGTAAAATAGATTTTCTTTGATCATAGAGTTACAAAAAATTAAATCTAAATAATTAATAATAATATAAAATTAGTTTCAAAAAGTACAGCTTTTGATGATCAAATATAACAAAAACCATTATTTGGATCATAGGGTTACACAAAATTGACTCTAAATGATGAGAAATAACACAAAATTAATTTTAAAAAGTACAACATTCGATGATCAAATTTAACTAAAAAATTTATAGCTCATACTGATTGTTTTTGTAGATTTGAATAAAAAATTTCTCGTCTAGTTCAAACTTTAGTATTTAGGCTAGACAAAGTTTAAAATTAACAATAAGTAAAATAACATTTTCAAACATTAGAAGATGTTATGTTTCAAATATCTATTCTTAAGTTGTATTAATTTAATCAATACATTACGTTGATTAATACAACAGGTGCAATAATGACAATCATATTCTAACAAAATAAATTTATTAATGACATTAAATTGTTTTTTTTCATGAAAACTGATGGCAGCGGAAAAAAATTACCCCACAAGGTATACAAGATGAAATAGCAATTGTGCACAAGATTATTACTTGGATCACAAAGAGTTTGTGGTGAAAATTTATCATATGTTATTATTTTATCTAAAATCTCAAAAGTATTTGACTAAGCAATAAATTTGATAGAGATAGTGACGTCCACATAATTTGCAAGTGCAAGAAGCAATTTGAGTATACTTTCACACTTATGTCATGTTTAATGATGTGAAAAAATTAAAAACTTCAACTCAACTGATGGAACATGCTCACATTTAAATTATATATGTTTATAGTTTAATAAATAATTATTACTGTATTATAAATTTGAATTTTTTATTTAAATAATATATGCATTTTTATAAAAATTTTAAAATATATAAATATCAGATGTGATTTTAATTCATATTATAAAAGTCAACTTATTTTTCATAATTTTAACTTGTATTTTAGGCATATACTAAAATGAATTGACATTGACATTAAGTATAAAACTCTGATTTTTTATTAATAGATAATTTGTACTTTGGTTACATTTAATTAATTAGATAAATTAACTGCTTGCAAAAAATTGTTAAAAAATATTTTTTTTCCATATAAAATTTTTGAAATTTTGAATGCAATTTTGTGGATACAATTTTGCGCAATTGAATCGTGTGTATTTTTTCATGAAATTTGTTAATAAAAAGTATTTATATCATAATAAATATTGATCAATATTCATTATTTGACATAAGAGTTTAGATCATACTTAAACAAATTTTTCCATGAGTATTGTTGAGATTTTTTATGCATGAATAGTAACAAGTATTCTTTGAAGATAACTATCCACATGTAATATGATTTTGAAGTTATCATTGACGGATAAACAATGTTCATTGGAAATGGTGAGATTACTTATAATTGGCAAATATTTGCACACTAAAATGTGCAAATAATTTACAAATTACTAGCAAGTTTATCTTGCTACTTTGCTAAATAATTTCGCACATCCATTAAGCATAAAGAGACATATGTTAATTTGAGTTTTCAGAATGATACATTCTGAAAAACTATTTAAATAATTATTAATTTCCAATAAAATATGAGAATAGATATTTATAAAATTTAAAGAATAATGCAATAATTATTTTTTAACTCAAATAATGTATCTATATCTAACAAGAAATTTTTATCCATATTGAAATTTATGAAGATATATTTTTTTAACGATAAATTTTCCATTTTGATGAATTTCTATTTCAAGTCAAAAAATATATTTTATGTCAAATATTTTATTACTTTAGAAATCAGATGAATATCTCATGCTAGATTATATGAAGCGTGATGTAATAAATAAAATTTATGTAGTTTATGAATGAAATTTCATCTAATAAATTCTTGATATTTTTTTGATATCGACAAGGAATTGTCTCACTACATTTTCTGCATATTAATTATCAATGAAATATGTAAAAATTCATACTAGGATGACAACACATTTCTCAATTTCTCATTCATACATATGTTAATGAATAAAAATTTATCAATTTTTTTAAATGAAAAATAAAACAATGTTTTTACTTGTCAAATAAGAGTTTTGATTATAATTAAGCTGCATTTTTTATGAATAAAGATGCATTCATTTATAAGATCAACTTTATATGATCTGAAATCACACATAGTGTGATTGAACGACAAGATCATCAAGATTTTAATCTTTTTTAGTTGATAAACAAAAGGAATACTTTTGTACATATAACTCAGAAATCAATCACCATTACAAACTAAGTTTATAGAATGAAATATCAACAGTATATTAATGCTTAATTATGTACATACTGGACATTCTCTTGAGGTGGTTATATAATGATTCTAAATGAACATATAAGCAAAAAAAACAGAAATAATAGTGAAGAGAACTTTACATATGAGCCAAAAAACATATGCTTCCACTGATGTCGATATTTTTATGATAGTTGATAAATTTAAATAATAATTTCTCATAGTGATTCTGGGTCGTGGATTTAGGCAGGAATTTAGTGTAGTGAAGTAGCAATTTACGTCCATCTTAATTTGGATTATTACAACAAAAGATAACAAGCTGTTTTGATTGATTATTATAAAACTTTAAGATATGATAATTTGGCTTTGATTTTATTTCTTTTTGACATAATACTGTGAATACTATGCAGCCAAATATTGAGAAGATCATGAGACCAATCGATTTTAGTCGAGAATCATTTCTTCTAGTAAGATCAACGTAAGATTCAAGCTCTTCGCTTATCACTTATTTTGGTCACACATAAGTAAACAATCATTTTCGATATGCCCTTTTGCGATCATGATATTTCTAGATGATGACGGTTCTTCCGATCCGTTTTCTATAATATTCGGTGTCCATGGAGAAAATGCTCGTCAATAATTAATACTCGTTTCAGACTATGAATCGGACTAACCCTGCAAGTTGAAGATGTAGCAGCAGGTTCAAACCTGGTCTGCAGACTGTGATGTTTTTTGACTTTTCTTAACGTGACGAGAGAACAGATCGCAGTAGTGTCAACGAGAAGTGAGCGTACAGGACTGTACTTTACGTCATAACTGTTGTAGATGCTCAGGGATAGAAACAGGTGTCAACGAAGAAACTTGTTCAGAATTCCACACATTCTTGAGTCCTGATTTAATCACCGACCGTTGCAATCTTTGAGTCCGCAATCAGCATCCCACCCACGAGGCGTCCAACTTGTCACTACTGCTTTCAGGACATGCAGCAGCGAGCAACCATAACTGTCTTCGGAAGATTCGAGACACGTGTCCCCATTTGCATGCCGTGCAGAGGATCCCAGCTATTTATATCCCAACTCAGTGGCTTCCAACGTGGGCCCCGCACCACCACCCCTCCGTTGCCCAGCATGGACACAATCCACCTCTTCTGCATCACGACGGCGCGAGATACCGTCCCGACGCCGCAATGGATAACTGTAAGGCGCGTCGCAGGACATGACACAAAGCGATGCCCGACGGTCCCACTAAAAAACAACTCTACCTACTGTAGTCGGCTGGCAATTCTTGTGGCCCTCATGTTCTAGTGGCCTCTCAGTTCCGTTATTATTTACGTATGTGCAGTAATGATACTTAGTGTATCACATAATTGATATATAATATAAGAATTGAGAGTTTTTATATTACAAATATAAAATAACATTATTGGATACAATACAGTTATGTATAACGAAGAGTAGTATATAGTATTACGCAACCAGCTTTTTCACATACGAAATAATTTAGTTGAAGCACTTTCATATTAAAATCTGCGTAACGTAGAGTAAGTTTAGAATTTAAAAATGAGTTAGTGCTCAGATCCCTAGTAATAAATAATTTAAATGTCATCTTATCTATTCACCATTCGAAGAGTGAAAATGGCGGAGAGACATGAGTGGACAACTGCGTAGTAAGGAGAGCAAACTGTGTCCAACCAATTCTGTAGGCACACAATGTACCGTACAGTTTACTACGCAGAGCGTTCAGAGTGTTCAGTCGTCGTAGGTGGCCCTCAATCTATCGAGACTCGAGACCGGATGGTCGTGAGTCGACAGGAGCACTGCAACATTCCGTCTGGAGTACGAACGTGAATCTAAGACTGTCGATCTTTAAAATACTGGCACGGTACTTGGAGATCTTTTAAGGCGCCTAGGTCTCTCGCCCACTCAAATCGTCCGCCCGCGGACTGTCAAGAAAGCTTGTATCATTGCTGTCGTAAGAGCGAGGAAGGCAGCGAGCTCCTTCTTCGGCCTGCGAACGAATAGCAAGAAAGAAAGAAGACACATTTTCCAAGAAATCGATGGCATCGGCGGTGAGTGCAGGTGCGATGGCCAATCTTTCTCTTTATAGCACCGGCAGCTGCTCGTCCCTTGTATCGAGCTCGAGTGGGAGACCTCTGAAGATTACATTGCAGCAGAAGAGGAGGGTGTACTTGAGAAGTGCGAAGAATCAGGTGGAGAGAAGGCTCTCTGTCGTGTGCTCTGTTGGGGCTAAGGAGCGGACCGTCCCGGAGCTGAACGAGGGAATCGCCAATTTCTATAATGAGTCGTCTGGAATCTGGGAGGAGGTCTGGGGGGAGCATATGCACCACGGCTATTACGATCCAAATTCGAAAGACGCCGGGGATCATAAAGAGGCTCAAATTCGCATGATCGAAGAGTCTTTAGCCTGGGCTGGAATTCCAGGTACGAAAGAGCGAACGTCTTGTCTTGTTTTTTTGGGTCATTACATTTGAAAACGTGCGTTTGAGACTCGACGCACGTTGATTGATTGATTGTATAATTGTTTAAATGTCCACTTTTTGTGATGGACATTTATCTGCATTGTGGACCGCTGGACTTTGAGAGATTGAGTGTAATCTTACATCTCGACATAACTGGGTATGAGACAGAAGTAGATACGTAGGAAAGAAAAACAGAGACATTCTGCTGAAGTGAAGCTGCGAAGTTATTTCGGTTGCTTTCCTTGTAGCTCGCGAAGAATTAAATTCAATTATTCTCGTGTGGAACATGCTTTTTCATTGATTAGCTATTAGGACTAGGCGCCCAATTCGCGAAGAGTCTACAGCTGCTAAGAAACCAAATATCATGTCAATATCGAACTGGCATATACATTGCTGAAGAAACTGTAACTATTCAGAATATTTACTGCCATGATTGTGAAGATCTTCCCAAGTTTACCTGTTATTTGACTCTTGGGAAAGATGGTACTATAACCTCAGCTCTGTATTTATGTCTCGGCGAGTGTGTCAAGTGTTAATTTTTCCGACCTTGCCGAAACCTGCGGCGCAGAGGATGAAGAGAACAAGCCTCGAACCGTGGTGGACGTGGGCTGTGGAATCGGAGGAAGTGCCCGTTATTTGGCCAGGAAGTACAATGCGAACGTGAAAGCCATCACCCTGAGTCCAATACAGGCTCAGAGAGGAACTGCAATAACAGCTGATCAAGGCTTGTCAAAATCGGTAAATTTTGTCCCAAACTTCTCAAAGGCCTCCCTTATCGAAATTAAGAAGAGTTTACGAAGTTTGAATCTTCTAGAAAGTGTCCACTGATTGTACATTCTGGCTGTGTTATCGAAATTAATTTCCCATATTATACTGTCATGTGGATCAGGTAAATTTCCAGGTTGCCGACGCTCTGAAGCAGCCATTTTCCGATGGCGAGTTCGATTTGGTTTGGTCGATGGAGAGTGGAGAGCACATGCCAGACAAAAGGAAGGTACTATTTCTTAACATTGGTAGCGCGATCATCAGTAGACGGATACAGGTTAGAAGTCATCTGTATCCGTAGCATTCAAAGTCTGGCTTAAATGATTGATACTTAGAGCTTAAAGTATTTGGTGAGGTTCATATATCACTGCTTCAAAATTCAGTCTGAGAAAACTTTTCTTGACGCATCCTTGAAAGAATAGGCCGGCTGAAGGAATAGGACTATGTAGAATGGGCGTAATGAAAGTTAAGCATAGCAATTCATGGATTATCAAGAGGTATTTAAACAAGAGAAAGTTGTCCAAAGAAGTCAAGAGTTCTGGAGGTGGCCTGCCAAGAGATCAGCTGTATCTCATAATCTTTACCGATATTCTTCTATAATACATTTACGCGGTGTGGTATTGTTTTTCTGTACAAACGTCCTATATACTATGACATATCTAATTGCATATCTGTGTGTTTTCCTTCAGTTCGTGCAAGAGCTAGCACGGGTTGCTGCACCGGATGGACGCATTCTGATCGTTACCTGGTGTCATCGAGACCTCAAGCCAGCTGAACTGTCTCTTTCTCCCGAAGAATTGGTAGACCCTTACCCGCTGTCTCGAACATTTCAATGCAAGCACGGAATGATGCCCTTCACGGACTAGCATGTTCAGGAATATCATGAACTTGTTCAATAAGCCCCGAAGGGAGTAGTAAACGGAAGCAAGCACGTCTGTTCTGTTGAGCCTGATACAAATACCTCCGACGACTGACCTGACAGAAGAAGACGAACTAACTGCGTTGACTTTGTGCGTTTCTTGTGAAGGAACTCTTGGACAAGATATGCGATGCATACTACTTACCTGCGTGGTGCTCACCTTCTGACTACGTAAGAATTGCAGAAAGCATTGGTTTGAAGGTAACTGTTACTCATTTTTTTCTCCACGTTTATGTTTTCCTTATCCAGCGCTCTGATCATATGGCCGACTACTTCATTTGGCTTACCTTCACCTGGTGGCTTGTGTATTTAGCTGTTTCCGAGAAGTAAAATAGTAACCAACGTGGTTTTCCCCTCTAACCAGGATGTCAAATCCGCTGACTGGTCGGAATACGTCACTCCTTTTTGGCCCGCTGTTATGGTTTCTGCATTGAGTTTGAAAGGCCTGTTTGGGCTTGCAAAAGCAGGTACAGTTCTTTACTACATCTTTATATTAGTGGTACTACAAGCAACACATGGCTATTTCTTTTATCAATATACGAAGCCTATTAGCTTATTGTTTCTTTGATCAAGTTTGGAAGTAGTATGTGAGGCTGCCAGGTTTTTGTCCCTTAAGAGTATGAGAAATACGCGTATGACAATCAGCATCGTGACCGTAAGAGTTTGTTGAGTGCAGGTTGGACCACTATTAAGGGAGCTTTAGCTATGGGGTTAATGGTGCAAGGCTACCAACGAGGGCTCATCAAGTTTGCACTCATCACGGCCCGTAAGGCGTCGTAGTCGGATTTCTCACAATTTTGCACCTGTGCAGCTTGTTAGTTGGCGGGGCCAGTGTCCATTGATGTGCTGTATGATCACTTTGTGTAAATATCATTTGTCGCAACGGAGTTAGGTACACAAACTTGCATTTTGTGGGATGGTTCGAGCGTGCTTGTTGTCCGAAGATGAACACAAGACATCTTCTATCAGAGCTTTCTCTCTAGTCTTGAAGAAGCTTGGATCATCTCACTTTGCTGACGTCTGAAATTAGCAGCCTGACAACGTAGCTGTTTCCATTCTTCCACACCTAGCACCTGTGCCGAGCTTATGTCCAGAAACACGCTGTTACTTGCTACAGAATCCGTCGCCAATTCTTAATGCTCGAGTTAGAGTTCTCGGAATGGCTCTCAAGACTGGCAGGCTTCTTTATAACGCACCCATGTTTCATAGAGAATGGTGTTACAATTATTTACTTCAAGACTCTTCTTTTCTTGTTGAAACTTAAGTTCCTGGCAACACTTCATTGTCAGCAAACCATGATCTGAGTTGTTATTAGCATTGCGCTGTATTTACGTTCACCACAGTTTGCAGTCAGTTGTGGGATCTGTACGTTTGTTACAAAAGCTTGAAGAAGCTAACAACCTTCTTCGACAAATTTGGATTCATATCGTAATGGTATGGTAAGTGGCATTGGTATGTGGATACTCATCACTCATGAGAGTCCGCCCTTCGTGTCATTCGCTCCTTGTACACCACCACTACAGCAAGGTACCGTACATATATTAGTGCCGAAAGCTTTGTCCTGTATCCCAAGAACTCTATGATACGCCTTCAGTGTAAAACCGCAATGATACTGGCTCTTCGAACGACTAGAGCGAATCGGATGTGAAAAACATTGCAACGAGATAAATTGAATCTCTGTATCAATAAATTGAAATCGTAACTGTGAATATTGACACTCCAGGACATAAAAGCACACAGCGTACAAAATTCCAAAATACGGACTAGATCTGCTTGATCTAGTTCTAGATCTTCCTGGAAGAAGGGAAACCTGTGTAATTCAAAGTTACGAGTATTAAGAATTATTTAAGCTTAGCGAACTCACATTTCGAAACGATATTCAGGAATGTATCGGATACATTCCTGAATATCTTGATAGATTCTTGAGGATACATTGTATCCTCAAGAATCTGTTGAAGCCCAGTTCAAATGGCAGAGAAGAAGCCAGTCTTTCTCCTCTTTTACTAATTTTCTGTAGATTAGTCAATACTCACATTCATGATAATTTAGTGAACATATTTATTATTATCGTATATTAGCGTCCGCTAATAATATGTATAGAAAAAGACATATTCTTAGCGGACAACATTCAATTCTGAGTCATCTGCTTCAGATGACTCAGAATTGAATGTAATGACATGAATGTAATGACAATGAAATGACATGAAAATGAAGTAAAGAAGTTTATTTAAGGATCTCAAGATAGTATTTAGTTATAGTACATCATGTTGAGACAACATTTTCAAGTATATCTGATGCGAGAAAGGTATTTGGTATGTAACAAAAGTTCGAATGTAAAGCAAATGGTCAAATCAGATATTAAACAATTATTGACATTGAAGATGAAATTTCTTCCATATTATGATAAATATGAAAGAATTGAAAAAAATTCTTACAAAAAATTGAAAAAATATCACCAAAGAAGGAGAAAGAAGTCTAAAGGTTTCAAAGAAATTTTTTTTTATTTATATGACTCTATCAAATGAAAAATAATACAATTTTCTTTTAAACTATGATACACTATACTTCATGAAGTGAAAGTGATATTTATTCAAAAAATATTTGGTAAATGATTTGGTATATTATACTTAGTTGAATTTATTTCATCCACGATCCAATTTTTTCAACATTATTCAAGGAAAAAAAAATGTTGATACATTTGAGATATTTTATGATTATATTTCATAAGAAACTAAGGTAAAATACTCTTCTATATATCTAGTTAATTACAATTTACATAGAATAACTTTGAAAAAGAAGACTTCTTTTGGCAATAATCATTATAGATTTGTTTGAGTTTGTAAAGGTTAATTGGGTTGATTTTAAAATTGGTTTTAGGAGTTAATTTAGGTCTTGATATAAACTCTATTTAGCTTAATTTCTATTAGATTAAGTTGATAAGTGTGTCACTTTATGAGAAAGCGCATTGGAGTTTAAAAAAACACAATAAAGATTTTCTGTTAGTAAAACCTGATTTGTTCTTGTGGACGTAATCCATGTACAAATTGATGAAACACACATTATCACCTTTCAGTTGTTTTATTGTATATTGTTTTCAAAATGAATGCTTGTTATATCGCGTATATGACACCACAATTGATATTAGAGCAATGTGTTTTGAGTATCGGTCTAACACTAAAATCATACGATTGCAAAAAGGTGAATATATACTTTTATTTCATGTCTTCACCGTAGTCACAAGTAAAGAACAGTTGTGGATCATGTGAGAGGTTGAGAAATAATGGTTGCAGGTTGGGTCGTCTGTTTGCTTTTGTGTAGACTTCAAGCAAAGCTAAAAACACAACAAATTATTATAGAAGAAAGTAGCGCCAAACGAAATATCACACAAGATGAAACAAACATGGCGGCAAATGCTAACCAATGGAATTTCAATAAAATCTTGAAAATTGTGCTCCATCATAATCGAGCTTGCTTTAGCAGAAATTTCATAGCTTGGTCATACTAGAAGAAAATTATAGATTTTGATGGAGGATCAAGATGATCTACTCGATTTGATGTAATAGTACGTGAAATAAAGAATAACTTTAAAGTGAAATAAAAAAATCTACTTCAAAATCTTATTTCAGAGAGAAGTTCAAAGTGAAAGAATTGCATTTTGAAGCTATATGAATTAGATTTAATTTTGAAGTGTGTCAAATGAGCATTGAAATGAAATTCAAAATAATTGTCTATTGAAACAATTTGATCTGTATCAGACAAAATCAAGATGTTTGAATTGTATAAAATTATCTAAATTTCAACTAAAAGCAAGATTGGAAAACTAAACAGGTTGGAATTATCAGTACATGAGGTGAAATGAAATGTGATAAAAAATATTGAATTCTGTTTTATTGAACAAATAATCGTGCAAAATTTTGAAAAAGTTATTGTGCAAAGTTTGATTTGGGTTTAGGGTTTACTGTCTCGAGTCTGACTGACTCGAGAAGGACAATGACTCGAATAGTAAGTAGTACTCTGAACCACACTTACTATTTCCAGTCTTGGTCTTAGACGACGACCACCCCCTTCTCTCTAAATCTCCTCCGAGTGCCTCCATCTTTCCTCCGCCTCCTCCTCATGCAGGGGAGTTGGTTCTAAGGTCCAATCTATACAACAACTTGTGACAAACAACAAGATCTCGACGTCTCATCATTTGCTCCATCCAACCGAGTCCAACATCACACACCAAACCAAACCACCTGGCTTGATATGAAGAAAAATCTTATCAAGAATTAAATATAACAAATCTTGAGTTGAACTCTTAAAATAAAGCTTATAAATTGATATATGAAATAAAACTATATACAATATCGTCTATGGCAAATCAATTATAATAGTTTTGATTTACAATGACTCATGTATGAAATTATAGGCTATGATACATAAATAATATTTTTTGATATTTTTTGGCAAAAGAAGCTTGTTATTCAATATTTGTAAAGTTGACTTAAAATTCTTTAAACATTGTGTCATAGACCGTCATCATAAAAAAAAATTGCTGTTGAAATTTTTAATTTCATAAAGTTACTTAATATGTACAGAGTGATATTTAAAAATTATCTTAAAGAAATATTTTCTTTTAAAATTATATTTTTTATGATTTATTTATGATTAGTCCAAATTTATATTGATATATATGTTCACAAATTTTGTTTAAATACTAATAGATTTCAAAAATTGAAAAGCCTACGTCAAATCTTAATCTAGATACAAATCTGCAATTATACATACAAATAATAATATGAAGTATATCCTTTAAGAATTTTCAAAGTTATTATGAAAAGTAGATAATCATTTGTCATCTTATTACAATTTATATCGAGCAAAAAAATGTAGACTTTAATGACTATAATCAAATAGTGTTGGGAAAAAGTATATTTTTATGAATTTAAAAATTATAATGAGAAGAAAATAAACATTTATCATCTTAATACAATTTATATTCTGCAGTAAAATGTTTTATTGATAGATTAATCAAAAAGTGTTGAAAAAGACTTGTAATATGTTTAGCCAATCAGGTTTATCATATTATTTTTTGTACTTAAATTGTGAATACAAAATCTATTTGATTTTTTTTTATGCAATCAATTTTTAAATACTTGTTGAATTGAGACTCAAAGGTACGGTTAATGATTGTTTGTACAATGGTTTGTACAATTCATCTTTTTATAGCAAACAAAATAAGACAAAGTTGAATTGTATATTTAAAAAATATTGTTTTTGGATACACTAATGGTTTGCTTGGTTAAAATTATGAAATTATTAAGATTGTAAGAGTACTATTAGAAAGAATGTTAATCTATGAACCCAAATCATTGAAAAAGAAAAATATATTTCTTGTTTGATGTACCGACAAAAGTAAATTTTCAATCAAACAAAGATTGATCAATATGGATTCAATGATGTGATACAAGGAGAAACTTAACTATGCATAAAGCAGATTCATGAGAAGCAGTAATTGAAATAAAAAATTATATTATTTTGCCTCTAGTTATTTTATCAAATGATAAAGATAATCAATTTTATCTACTGAAAATCATCATATTTGATTAGTGTAGGTATGAAAGAAGAGTGATTTACTTCATCTTGTAGATCATAATATTAAGACTAAAAATGAAGACACTTTGTTGATTCTGAAAGAATGAAAATTTTCTTTGTATAGAAAATTAAAATTTTATCAATAAGCTTCACAAAATATTTTTATGAAGTGTGAGATGCAAAAGCTGATTGATAATAAGATATCAGATTTAGTAAAATTCAAAATTGATTGATTTATTGATAATGAATGAATGTATAAAATATAAGATAATCCAACAAATAATGAGGATAGAAATTTTAAATCATACTGGTAGCTAAGAATTTAAATAAACATGTGTGGATTTTTACAACATATTTTTATCTATAACAAAATATGCTACAATTTGATACAGACCTAATTTGGTTCAATCTATGATCTAGTTATGAATCATTTTAATTTAGTAACAATATTTTTTAATGAATCACTGTAATTTTTTTTTTCAACAAACAACCAGTTGACGTTCAGAAAAAAGAAAAGCTAAGTTAATTTATTGACTATTAAATCATTACATGAATTCAAACAATCTTTTTGGCACTTAAATGCAAGATTTGATAAGTTCATGAAAGCAGAACTATCATTATAGAGTATATGTGATCTATTATATACATGAAGATTGTGAATATTTTTATCTTTGATCTTATTATTGTAGTATTTTAAGTAAATGATATGCTCATTTTGACAGAGATCAATTTCATATCTACAGATTTAAGTATCAG